CGCGCTACAAGCGCTTCCAGCATACTGCTGACTACCTTCAGGCCACCACGATAGTAACGCTAAAGTGATACAGGCGAATGCTCTTTTGGCGCCAGAGCAAAACCATTTCTTGCAACGGACCTTCAGGGATTCCAGCATCAAGTTAATTTCGCTGGATACGACGCATAGCGGGTGAGAAAGCTTGCAAGGTCGCAAACTCACGGGTGAATCAGGTTTTATCGAGCCTCGCTGATCCGGCAAGCGGGTTTGTACGGTTGGAGCAGTCGAATGCAGCTTTTTGTCGAAATGTGCTGTGATGCGGAGGAAAAGCCAGTCGGATTCATCAAGGCCCGCACTACGCTCCTGCAGCTGCTCCTCCTCTCCGTTGGAAAAAGATCCGGCCAATAATGTTTGAGCCACCAGGCGCAAAGCGTCGGGCGTAGTCGCATGGTCGTAGTTTTTTTTTTAATGTCAGGCGAAAATGTGTTTTAGAAACCTTAACGACCTTTGACGTTTTAGCATAGCGTAAGGCAATCTTGGTTGCGCTAAGTATCGTCCAACTAAATCTTGAATGCCAGTTGTGTACAGCACAACGGACACCAAATGAAATAATCTCATGAAGCTTGCGATCGGGCTGATCAGTGTACGCCTTTTGCTAGTCCAATGAATTTCTAGTGCATCTTTACAAAGCGCACTACTGACTGACACTGTCGAGCGAATATTTTGAAAAATTGCAAGTTCTTGAGGCGTAGAATCGGCCATTATGTCGTGAAAAACCAAATTATCGGAATTGTCGCGCTAACTCTAAGCCTGTGCCTTTACAACTCTTCGCAATGCTTGGTCAATAGAGTCCGCTTCATTATTTCGTGACACGTCAGTATAATTTTTGCGGCACCCAGCGTCACAGATCCCTTTGACACCGGTGCACGAGTTGTTGAGTTGCTAATGTCCACAGCGCCCGCTGATTGCCAAGGCTGGGACCCGCGTTAAATCGTCGATCGTATACTATAGCATCGTGACCCGACGACGTTAAGTCAGCGCGGTTTCAGTCACGACTTTCCTGTGGCGACTCTGAACGAGCAATAGTATCTTGTCCGCTGGCTCGGCTTTCCATCAAGCGACTCGTAGGAGCCCCATAAACCTTTTTAAGCGGACTTCCCTGACGTACAATGTTGGCATGAGCTTCGCAAGGCACGAGAAGGAGATCGTGATCGTCTTTAGAATCATGCGGTGACCTTTCCCGCGCGCAATGACGCATACGCATAACGTGCTGATGCAGCGCGCGCTTGTAGCCCCAAGTGTAAGGGCACTCTTCTCTACATATTAGGTACCATCTCAGCATCGGATTTCAGTCGTCGCAGCCTGGCATATTACTGTTGCGACACCATTGACATCATTTAAGCGCACCTCCAAGCAGTATTGTTTTCCAGCGTCCCGGTAAAGTTTTCAAATTTTGTCGCACAGCTCAGCAAGCCATAGTTTTTGCGCTAGTTCTCGAGACGTGGTACAAGCTCGTTATAAATTGGCTCGGTGTTCCAACTTTGGAAGAATGAAGTCTAAGACGCTTCTAGTGAGTTCTAAGTCACGGCTAGCATAGCCGTGACAGGTACCCACGAACTCTCCTCCCGCCGCCACAACTCGCCCATGGCGCTGTGCTCTCGTGACCGTTGGACTCCGCTGAAGTGGCACAGGCTCCGCGCTCGAAGTTTTAGGCGTGGGAGTGCGCATTAGTCAGTGTACACTGTGACCCAAGGTCTTGGTCCTGGCACCGCATCACTTTCACACGGAGCCGATCATCGTTGAAGGTCTAATGGAATGAGTGCGCCGCAAAGCTCGCGCGTAACGTCTTGGTTCTCTCCATCTATGTGAATGCAAATTTGTGTAGATAGTGGCTCTCTGCCACGTTGTGAGCCCAATATACTTTAGGTACGATCACATTAAACCACCAAACGCACCCAAGGTACAGCTACACCAAAATGGTGTGGCAGGTGTGTACGTAACTTGTGTAACGTTACAAGTGTTTCGTCGTACTTAAGCGGGAAAGCTTCAACGCATGCGGAGTGAGAATCCAAGGGTCAGCACCTGCCAAATTAATATAACTCTCAAGGCCAAATTTAGGTACTATCATACGGATAGCTGATGACCATGCCGCCGGTAGCTGACTATTGACGCGGAAAAGATTATGTTCCGTTTGAGCAGCCGCTGGCATCATCGTGTTCCAAGTCCATGAAGCAGGTCCAAAGACTGCGAATTAGATGGCGCTGTGTTGTGTTACGCCCGGTTGAGTGGGAATTACGGTTGGGTGCCGGGCACTATCCTTAATCCAGGACAGCCACGCCAACATATAGGTATTGTCTTAACCTATCAGGGCTATAAGCGCGTGTAATGCGCCGTGTGTTGATGGCGACTGGAACTGAAACGAAGCCAATGCCTTCAGCCTATCGGGGAGTGTACAGTAGATTACGAGCTACTTTGTGTCTCTCACGGAAGTATTCCAAAGAAATTGTTTGTAAAGAGGTTTTAATCGCCGTAGCGCCTAAACGTGAGACATGAAGAACGCTGCCTTAAAAAAATTGCGGGGAGAGCAATTACGTTAAGAGTCAGAATGCGGTGCTGCTGTGGTTTGAAATTTTATAATGTGAGCTTGGTATACAATGCATAGCGATGAATTATCTTCGTGTATTTCAAATGACGTCTACATAACGTTTACCTGAATATAAATCTGGTAATTGGGCAGATCTAGCTTCGTGTAAATAAGCAATCAGGTATTATTGCTGAATACATCTGCTTTCCTGTAGAGATATGTCAATATGCATAATTCGAGAGTTGGCTGTAAAGTAAATGTTGCTATACACTAAAATTATTTAGTAGTGGTATTGTGATATCTACGGCGCTGCTTCGTCTAGGCGTCCACCACTTGCGTCGCAGGTTCCACCATAAGCTAAACGTATATCTTGACAGTGTTGCAGTCTCTCTACCAACTGCCAACGGCCGCAACTCGGTTGCATATAACAACAGACAGCATGTGTGAACGCAACGGTGCGCCACTATTACTCTCGGAGCAGCACACAATCTTGAAAATACGATGATCGACGTTATGGGTAAGACGAGAAATTGCATCAAGTGACACTGTACGCTCATAACCTATTCAGGTTGTATCATAGTATAGGACATATTTTTTTTTATTATCACAAGATTAAGTCTTGGCTAGAGTCACAATCTTTCGATGTTTTGTTACACCTGTTGTCACATGTCGTCGTTATTCAAGGGTAACTAACTATTTGGATAGTAGGTGGGGTTGTGTCAAGGAGAGTATGTATGCGATGTTTCTGCATCCTGAATCCTACTTAAGATCATATATCATATAAAACCTGTGAGATTAAATACAGAAGTATTTAGCTTCCATGTATGCAAGTCTTATTAAAGACCGCAATTCCAAATACACAAATCCCATTAGTAACCACATTATGTTTTACTGTATTCAGCCATGCACTGACTGAAGACCAATTGAAGACCTTCAGTTTCGAATTTTCGTAGTAATACGTAGCAACAAGAAGAAGAAGAAGAAGAAGCGATACCTTCATGCAACATCAACAACGTGTTTTAGCAGACGGATGGGGTGAACAAACAACAGGCAGTGTGTTTTGTGCTGACTCTAGTCTACGTTATATCTATGAAAGTAATACTTGTGTACTTGAGTCTACGCAAGAGCTTTCATGTGAATTAGTTTCTAGCCACTCTTCCCCTTTTGTCACACATTCCAAACAGCATCTAAATGGTACAATCAATAACCAATACACACAAGACGATAGAAGAGAAAAGAAGGATAAAGTGGATTTATTTGAAGCTGAAATTGCTCGAGCGTGTACAAGTCTTCGGAAACAAGAGACAAGTACTTTATCGTCTTCATTATTCGAGTGTTCCGTGTGTCTAAGTTCTAATGCTTTAGCACAAATTAGAGCTTGTGGTCATACGTTTCACTCGTATTGTTTCTTACGATGGTTTCGTCTTCATCGGTCCTGTCCATTATGTCGTGGAGTAGTTGATAAAGTACAATTGGCTCAGTCGTTGACAGTACAATATGAACTTGAAGCTATAATGGCTGATATTAATGAGGATCCAGTCGCATTCATGACTCCAAGACGTTCTGAAACCGATTTAATGGCCCTGGACGACTCACTCTTGACACATTCAGACCACTTGATGTCGTTCTTAGAAACAGATTTTGATACCGAGATGGAACTTGTGGCTTTGGATGATGAGTTTCACAACGAGCCTACTACCTGTGGAAATCTGGAATCTGAATCCAAGCGAGAATCTCATGGAAATGCAAATATTGACATGGAAATGGAGGAATTGGTCGATGACGGATATAGTAAACAGGAAGAAATGTCCATGGCCATGCAGAGTGATGTAACATTTGCTTCTGTGACTCCACAGTACCCACCAGCGTCAGCAATACCAAACTACTGGAATGTGTTGAACCAAGGAATGGCTCCTATGATTGTACCTCCGGCTCCAGCTGTGCCGCCCCAGAGAAAAGTGCACATTGCACCCAAGCCTGAGGCGAGGCATACGCTGCGGTCAAGAGCAGTGCAGATGACAGAAGATACATACAAGATGCTGGCACCTCAAACTTCGCAGCAGATACATAAAACCCGCCAGTATTCTACGGTCCGTGCTTCTACACCTGTTGCATCTCGTGTGGTGTCGTGTCGATGCACTGGGGGATGCAGGAACGGACGCTGTGCCTGTGTCAAGGACGGCGGTATGTGCGGTGCCTCATGCCGATGCACGTCCTGCAAGAACCCTTTTTCGATGGTCAAGGCTGCAGGTGCTGACATTGATGCACTGCTGAAGGATGACTGCTTCATGCACAACGTTTTGAAGACACGAGATATGATGCAACGGCTTCAAGAGCTTGTAGCTGTGCCATGCTGTGACCGTACAGTCAAGGTCATCGACTGTGTGCAGGGTTACACGTGCGAGACATGCAAACGACGATACGACTTTTCGTGGTGCACGAACAAGCTGCTAGGTAGCGAGCGCACCCCGCGCAACCACTGTGCGATCTGCAAGCGGTGCTGCGACCACCGTGACGCGCACTGCAACAATTGTGGTCGCTGTTACTTTGCCGGCGTGGCTGCAAGTTTACCGTGTCCGTGCAAAGAGGCTATGAGTCACAAGAAGCGGCGCGAGTCTGCAGCTAAGGAAAAAGCAGAGGTAACAGAGGAAGAAGCTGAAGGCGAATGCTGTATCATGTAGTGCACATTGCACATCGTTCCTCTCTTCTGAACACGGAGATTTTTGAATCATGAAAATCATGAACACTTGTGCAACACGTGGCTCTTGTCCAATTTGCGTACCATAAACTTCCTTGCCTTGTCACACAATTTGAAGTTGCAGTCAGCTACACGGTTCGATGCAACAAATCTATGGGCAGTAGTTCAACATCAGATTTGTAGCTCGAGCTCTTGTGTTTACCGCTAACGTCATGATGGCGGACACAGCAAATTGGTTACAAGTTGGAACAACTCACTGAGTAGTTGACCGAAAGACCGAAAGGGCTTAAAGTATATGACACCAACAGTCTTCTCTCTTACTGTCGTCGCTCTTACACGGCTGAAGCTGTTTTTACAATTGATGACCCATATAACCTTTACTTGTTATCTTCAATTCGTCAATGGGTCCACACATCACCTACGCTGCTAGTATTGTGCCTTAATCACCTTCAGATCGTTCAAAAAGGCTACCACCTCCTGCGAGAACGTGGGAAAATCTACCTGGCCGCTCCACTGGAAGCACTCACCTTCCATCTTGGACGCTGCTTCAAGCTGCGGTGGTGTAAGGATCTCCTTGATATAGCTATGCAGGAAAATCTGGTAAAAAGACGTAAAGTCTACGGCTGCAACACGGTGCAGCAGCTGGATAACTTCGTCTTGAAGGAGATTCATTTCACCGCGGGTCAGGAGATTCATGAGTGTTGAAAGAAATCCCATGCGCAGCTCATTTTGGAATCCTGTAAAAGCAAACAACCCTTGTGCCTTGTCTACCCGATCCAGCAGTCCAAGCACCTGCTTACATATTCGCGGAGCTAAATTGGAGCTATCGCGGCTTAGCACACTTGCTAGACTTTGGAAAATCGAAAGGAAGTACGTGTGCGCTTGGTCTGACACGTAACCGCGTTCACGGGCGCCATCGGGAGTAAATTGACCGGAGTACACAATAAAGGAGCGGTAATGCTTCTCCAGCAATTGCTCAACTAAAGCCACAAAGTAGCTTAAGATGATAGAATCGCTCTCCGGATGGGAAAAGATTGGCTATACAGATAAAGCATTGGACATAAGCGACATAAGTCGTGTGACGAGAAATCAAGGAGATTTAACTTTAGACAACACGATCATCGTACCTCTTTAAGCGGCCCAAAACACAGATCAAGAATGTTGGGCAAGAAGGAGGAAAAAACAGAAGTCGGTTCCTCAACGACAATCTTCAGCAGCTGCAAAAAGCCGCAGAGAACCATCAATCCGGCATTTCCTTGGCGATAAAGTCTACGAGAGGCAATTGACAATCAGTAAATAGATGAGTACTATAGCAGCAACAATTAGTAAGTAGGCTAGACCCCACGTACATTCCTGAAAGCTCTGAGTTATTGAAGATTTCCACAAAAGTCTGCATGATCGCTGACACATTCTCCTTTTGCATCTCCTTACGAACAGACTTGAGTAGCTGAGCGTAAAGACGCACTATTTCGTTCACCACTTTTAGTGCACTCTTGACCTGAGTATTCGACGGAGGCGTACTAGAAGCCGCCATTTTGCGAGTGGTCGTGAAGTAAGTCGTCAGTAACGCCATTAACGATGGTAATGTTGGCTGAAATCCAGAAAAGAATGCGTCCTTTGCCACTTTCGGCTTTGTTTCAACCGAGCGTGCAAGGCAGCGCACTAAGTAGCAATCACGCCTCAGCTGAGCAACCATAACATGCTCGAGGACTCGCTGTTCATTCTGATGCAATGCCACAGCGGACTGGTTGATCGACTCACAAATTGGAACCAATAAAGACGCATAACCATTTCCCCACTGTTTTGATCCACCACCGTTGCCTCGTAGTGAAATCGCGGAATCTAGAATGGAGTTTGACATTGATGTGTAAAGGCTACCTTGAATCGCCAGAGGTAAATGCAAGCTGAACTGGTGAATATGGGCCTCAAGTTGGGCCATGGAGGGGATCTCGAGCATATCGTCATAAGATAGTACGAATCCGAGGTTTGCAAGAAGCTGCATCGAGTTCTGCATCACAGGTAAAGGAGACGGCACAATGCTCGTATCAAGTGTCTGAAGAATTAATCGAAGCACACTCTCCGAAGCATTAAGCACGTCCTGTCTAGCACCACTTTTGACCACGAATGGGATGCAGCTCAAGCAAGATCTAATGCTCGTGAGTGCTTCACACTGCAACTCGGCAAAAGCATCACCCCGAGTGTGCAATCGGTGCTGCACTATGTATTCAGACATTTGGATAAACATGTGCAAAATCTGCCACCCTGCCATTTGTTGATTCATGTCATCACTAACGCTATAATAGTAAGCACAAACACTCGAGAGAATTGCACAGCTAACCGTAAGGTCGCGAATGACGCATCGCTGCTGTTGCCACAGGCTAGATTGCTGAGTGAGCACACTCGTCTCATGAATATGGAACAGCACATCTTGAACAGCATGTTGAACACGAGGCAGCATGAGCTCCAGTAGTGGAGGTGCACAAGAAGCTAGCGCCGCAATTCGTCGAATAAGCGCAATGCAATCCACAACAAATTGCTTCCTTTCAGACAACTCTACCATCGTTGCTGCCCCTCCAGAAACATTTCCACTTGCAACATCCGTTTTAATTTGTGCCAGGTCCTGCAAAGACCCTGTACCATACGACTCGCTTGTATATTCAAGGTCAAAAACTGCGCTGTTGTCTACATCTTCGTCGTCGCCATGCGTCCCTGCATCGTCTCCGTCATCTAACTCATCCAACTGATTCCGATTCGACTCATACCCGACACGCTCAACAAGATAGAGCATTACAGCAACAAGCCCTTTTTCATAAACTGCCAGTACTGGTCCAATATGTTCATCCAACGTACCTTCATTTTGTTCGAGCTCTTCAATATACGACACAAACACCTCCCAGACACTAAGGCAGTTTATAAATCCTTCAACATGTGGCTGTTTTGTTGTAAAAGCATAGACCAGCTCTAAAAACGTGGGCAAAATGTCTCGATACTTTGGGTTCTCAAGTCTCTTCAAATGATGAGTTAAAAAGACTTCAACAAACTCGTTCAACTTGTCCAAGAACTGCTCCGTTGCTTTGCCAATCACTTGATCCTCAACTGTTTTTTGCAGCAATGGATACAATAAAAGCATCACGTGTGCAACCATTCCATCCACTCTTGATGGATCAAACCGTTTACTCATTAACTCCGTAAGGCATTGCAATGCCATTGCACTGGACACACACACGTAATTTAAAGTATAGCCATGTTCCCAATTCCTTGCCAATGTAAATAGTAGTGACACCCACGTTTCTGTCATCTGATCTGCTATTGTTGGTGCCCATGTCATGAGATTGTATAACGTACTCAATGCTACATTTGCCACAGCATCTTGACTCGCTCTTAAATGTCTATCACTTGTTGTTTGTACATCATGGCTACATTTTTGTAATATCGTAGCTAATAACGTCAAAATATTTGGTAAATGACTTAATAACTTGATTTTTGCTTGACGTTTAACTGTAGCAAGTACAGTCGCACCATCTCGTCCAAATTCATCGATAATCACACATAAGAGCTCGAGACCCGATTGACGAGATTGTTCAGTAAGCACAAGCGTTTCTAATTGGGTATAAAACTCGGGCCATAGATTTGTCGTGTCTTGCCATTGTAGTATTGCAATCTCGGCAATGACTTTACGTAATTTACGATGAACAAAAGTGACTTGAGATGGAGTTAACGATGCTGATTGGAGGAAATCCCACACAAATTGTCGAATCTGAAGTTGCTCGGAAATGGGAAATTGTGCCCATTTTTTAGTCACATATTCTTCCAATGTTGTGGCAGCAAACCAAAGGGAGTATTCATTCTGAGAGGTCCGTAAGAGCGTAAAGAGTACAGGTAAGCAAGCGTCCGATGTTTCTTTAAATTGTGTTAGTTGCTGTTCCAAGTGCAATTTGTCACTAGACGGTGTAGATGGGTCCAAAAGACGACCTAGCGCCGCTTCGACGTGGGCGATGACAGCGTCAGAGCTCATGGATACAGACGGATTATAGTGATGTTATGCGTATAAGATTGTGGATAGGGCGTTTGTTTTTGTCAACTCGACAGAAATTAAAGTTGTTCTTTTTGTGAGTTGCTAAATATGGGTTCATACTCGTATGCTGGTACAAAGTGGCTTTTATTTGCTAGAGAAGAAGATGATGAATTTGTCTTTACGGCAGTGATAATAGATGATAACAATAGTATTGCAGAGTACAAAGTAGATACGAATACACTAAAAGAACATGTAATAGGACGGAAGCTATAAAGAAGAGAGTGTAGCTATAATGTTATTAAAGTACACGATGAATGATGTTGCTGTGTAGAGTGAGGAACTCGGTCTTGAGATCAAAGTAGGCGCATTGAAGAGTATGGTACTGGTATGTATACTACAGCAATCAAATGGTTTGATATCATCGATCATCATTGCGTTTGAATGCCTTGCAACATTCTCACGTGTTTGTAAACAATGATTTTGTAGAAAGCATTGGACGAGCGTCAATGTGTCGATTTGGACATCGAAATGGAAGGAGAAAACAAAGTGGTGAAAAATGTTTTCCTGTCATTGACATACAAGTTTAGCCCTACAATATCTCGAAAAGGAATGTTTCATCTACCAATTGTAGCAACTAAAGCTCCGGAAAGTATCGTGACGTTGCTGGCGAGTATTCATGCTATACCACCACATCCAAAGTTGTCCAAACAGCAACAACGAGAGAAAAAGGCACAAGAATCATCTCTTGTTGCAAGAAGGAGCAGTACTGATTCGAGCGCCGAGATTGTTGCAAACATCCACGCAAATGACAAAGCTACGACGGGATCGCAGAACTTCTTAACGACTGCTGGGATGAACCCAAAGCTGCTTAAAAAACGACATGTCCCCGCAGGAACACTGTACGCTGCCAACGCATTTGAAATTCTCTCTTATGGCAGTTTATTGACTACGGTAACATTTATTTGTTCAATTATTGGAAGCAGGCGACGAAAAGGTCCTCGAGGTGCCAAGCTAGTCAAGAAGTAGCGGTAGTTGCATTTATAGTATCGATCTGTCTCATGCTTCATTTTTTCTAGCTGAATTGATTCCTCATTTGGTCGCTACAAAAAAACTGCAAAAGGAAGTTAAACGGGGTTTCAAATATAGTCTGGACAGCTAAAATGTAGCTTGAGACGGCCAAATTGTGCTAAATAAGACCAAGGCTAGTTAGTAAAGACTATAATAAAGCCTAACTCGAATGGCTTTTAGACCTTGGGACTAAAATAATTGGTCACCATTGACAACCATTCAAACTAATTCATCATCATGGTGGACATGTTAATGTCCATGCAGCCATCTAAGAACGTGACAACGCCACAAGTTCATGCAGTAGCTGCATGTGATATCAATGGAGACAATGGCAAGGAACAGAGTGACGAAGAAAATGAAACAGAAGGGGGAGCCACAGAGCTCAAGCGACGAAAATGAGCAGGAAAATGATGAAATTCACGACGTTGTGGGCTTTGGAGACGCCATGAACAAAATACTGGCACAAAATGTAGCAAATTGCGCGCAGCCGATTCTATCCAAGCGCATAACGGCGCGAATGCGGGCGATACAGAGTGACAAGAAAGAAACAAAGACAGCGCGACTTAGCGCTGCTGAGAAGCGCGAGCGGGAGCAGAAGGACATGGCGCTGCCTGATTACTCAACTGCTGTACAGGACCGTAAATTGAGAATGATTGCAACAAAAGGAGGTGAGAGAGAGACAGAGTGATCGCTTTGGAGCATATTGTTGCTGTTTTCTGTGAGTCAGAGACTAAATTGATACTTGTGTGTTTGTTGCTGTCAATATTTGCGATAGTGGTCGCTCTGTTCAATGCAATCGAGAAACACCAGCACCAGAATGGTAAGAAAGAGGAAAGCAGTGACAAGAAAGTGAAGGAGATGTCCAAGGATAATTTTCTGAGTCTACTCAAAGTGTCGCAGCAAAAGACAATCAACAAGTCTGTGAAGACTGCCAAGAGCTCATGGTCTGTGGTACAAGATGATTTCATGATGGATGCAAAGTTAAAGGACTGGGACAACCAACATGGTACCGAAATAGGTCGAGTACGGCAAAAGGGTGATGCAGACGTTGAAGCAGTTGAAGATGTGGCGTGGAAACAGGCTGGAGATGTGGTTCTGGACAGTGATCATGATGATGTTCCTGGAGGTAATAAAATGACAAAGAATACTAAAGTACGAGGATTGTCAAGTATCGAGAAGAAGAAGAAGAAGAAGGTGAATAGCCAGAAGAAAGTCAAGCGTTCATAAGATAAAGCACATGCCTTGGTAATGCTTGACTGTATTGAAAAGATTGTAGCGTTTACATTGAACTTTTTTATATCTATGCTATGAGTGTAGTCATTAAACAGAGGTGTAAGAGGCGACCCATTTAACCAGCCATTTACCATATAATCAATGATAAAGTTAGTTGATTACTCCGAGAGTTCCGATGATGAAGAACTTGCAGAAGCTCCTTGTTCCAATGACGGTAGCCAATGGTCATCTTTTGGTGAAGTGCCATCAAGTCCTAGTGACACATTTTCGTACGATATGCGATCCCCTGACAGTGAGGAAGAGATCGCAGACGACGAAGAAGAGGTCGAAGACGACGAGGAAGAGGATGAGGATTACGTACCTTCTCGGACGTCCCTAGATGCTTCAGTTTCTATCACGAGCTCAGTGGATACAGAAGATTTAGATCCCGACAATGATATGGAAGAAGAAGAACCGGTAGAAATGGAAGATAATCTCCATTTGAACACACAAGAAGAGTTTGATTATGTCAATCAAGAGAAAAACAAGGAAGTGAAACAATGTAAAGATGTTTTGAATGTATGGAAAGATTTGAAAGATGCGTTTGAAGCTAATGCATTCAAGAGACGCAGTGGAGAGATATCAGATAACATGGAGAAAAAGATACTGCCGAAAACAACTAAACAGCAGCAGCTTCTTTCAACCAAAAAATGGTACGACGAAAGGTTGTTTATTTGGTGTTGAGGCAGGAATGAAAAGTTTTGAAGCAACATTTACTCCTGGAATCGCAGAGAAGAAAACGTCACGACCACATCGACGACAGAGGCTCATGCGTTCTCGTCCAACTGGAGTATCATCGAAATGTAGGACATCATTCGCTGATGACAAGGAGCAGTCTACGATGTCAAAAAATACAGCTGCCGATTATATGTTTAAATCGTCCAAGACAAGTCCTAATGAACCGACAAACTCTTTGCATGTAGATGGTCAAACGAAGCAGCCTGCGTTTTGTTCGTTTCAGACTCCGCAAGTGGATATTTCGACCTTTTCATTTGGCGGGAAGCAGATGAATGTACATTTACCAAATTTCACCTTTGGAAACTCAGGAGCTACAGTGTTTGCAAAGAATAGTGACGATACGCATATGCGTAGTCCAAGTCCAAAGTGTACTACTGCGACATCATTTGTCCCAATTGATGGTAAATTTACGCTTGAAAAGCGTGGTAACAAATCTATACCTAACATTTCTTACAACTTTGGAAATAACGCCAGTAAAGCAGAATGTTTCTGTGCAAAAGTGCAAAATACGACAAATGATGATAATGACGCTTATATGTACAGCCCAAGCACGCACGGTAAACCTGCAGGTCAGTACCCGACCAAAGGTGAGTTTTTATTTGGACAAGCATACAAGAATCGCAAACCGCATGATTTTTTTCGACAAAAGAGCAGCGTGTCGTTGGAACCGACCAAGTCAGTTTTTACTCCAATCGTAGCACCAACAACAGAGGGGCTGAAAGTTTTATGGGGAACAAAGGGTCCTATTGGTGGCACTTTATCCTATAAATCTGGCGCAAACAGTGAAGATACAGCAGTTCCTACGTCCTTTAGTACTGGAGTCGCAGGATCAAACATGCAGCATCGAAATTTAGACCGTCAGAAAAAGAAGGCTTATTTATGCTCAACCTTTGCATCAATCGCACAAGGTACCTCAAGTAAATCCCAGTTATTTGTCTCGACATCATCATTTGGATCTTCACAGTCTGCAACGGCCACTCACCAGCAATTCGATACAATCTTTGCGGTTAATGATACACAAGAAAAGAATGTGTGGCCGAGTAACATGGCCTCAACTGTACCCACTGAAAAGCCATTCGTCACGAGCACAGGTGGGTCGTTTATACTTGGCAACTTAAGCAATAAGACTGTTCCGAAGACTTTTACAAACACAGATTCATCTTTATCTCAGGCTGATGAATTTGGCTCAGCCATTGGTTTGGCTACCGTGGCGGCAGTAAGCTCAGGTGTTTCCAGGCAGATTTCTCTTGACGAAGAAACCTCTTGCAATTCATTTAAATTTGGTGATGCAGAAACCAATTTACCTACAGTAGAAGCCAATGCTCGCTTTCCAGCTAAGAATATATCAGCAGCACCTACTGGTGGCTTCCAAATTGGTTGTGTGGATGCTCAAACGAACTCTCGAGTGCGCCATAGGAGAAGCGGAATGTTTACCCACAAAAATAGTCCAAGGAAAGATGCCAAGGTAGGCGCTCTCATCTCAGAGCCATCTTCCGGCTCTTACTCCGCATCCTCATCGACTCCATCTCCCTTTAGAATGCACCATAGGCGGACTCGCAAGAATGCTTGTGTACGAAAATGTGGGCGTAGTTCTCCCACAAAACTGTTTGCAACACACAATTTTCAGTGCCACCAGCCTTTATCGTCATCTGATGGACATCTACATCCCAATGCGGTGGGAACTACGGTAACAAGAGATTCTGTCTCTGTCGCTGAAGCCAGCTCTCCGAGTAACAGCCATTTTGGTGTTGTGACAAGTCAGCAACACGATCAAATCAGTGATTCAGGTGTGTTTTCTTTCCACTCACAACGTTCCAAATCCAGTGATCCGCAGTCTCAAAACTCGAACCATAAATCGACGGTTTGTCAGCATAGTTCGAGTGAATCTGCAAAGATCCAGCAAAGTAGCAATAGTGGGACGCGCTCCACCTATGCTGGATCGCGCCGAATCCTGCGAGCAGCCCTTCGAAGTGTTGGAGTTGGTGGAGATCGTGCAAGCTCAGCACCGCCCACCACTGGTAGTCGACCCGATGAGAATGACGCGGATATGGACAGCGAAGACGAACGTGACTGGTTGGAATTGAAGCGTCTTGGTGGTGTTGCGTATTGTGCAAAAAAATATGAAGACGCAGCCGAGTATTACCGTCAAAGTATTGAGCTTCTAGATTCGCTTTCTTATCATGACACAGTCATGTATACGACTGAAATGAGAACTGATAAGGCGAAACTTCACGCAAACCGAGCAGCATCTCTGATGATGCTGATGCACTTAAATGAAGCACAGCGTGAATGTCAGCGATCGATTGAGGTGGATGCGACGTATGCACGCGCATACCTTCGACTTGGTCGTATCCAAGTGCTACTTGGCGATGCTACTAATGCACAGGCAAATATTGATACTGCAAGACAATTGATGGAAGGGTCAGACCACGAAGTCAGCACTGGAGATCAAGCAGATTATGCGTCACTGACCAAGATAGAGGCATCTATAAAGAAATTAACAATGTTACAAGGTGAGATCAAATGGTATGTTGATTGTGGAGACTTCAAACAAGCTCTCGTGCAGACGAATGCTGCTTTGGTACATGCACCAAACAGCCGGAAATTACAGGTCGAAAAGGCTCGCATCTTACTGCACCAAAAGTAAGTATTTCTGTCTGTGCCCTATCGTAGGTCTTGTGCCTAACGTAAGCACTGTGCTGTTGTTGTTTGGACAGAAAACTTGGTGAGATTGTCGAGCTTTGTACTTCTATTATCGAGAAACAACAAGCAAATCAGGGGGAAACGTCCAGTCCAGCAAGCACAAGTGGAATGAACACGAAAGCGGTCAAGGGTAAAACTGTGCAAAACATCGCTTATGTAGGTATTGAGCTCGGTCTGTTATGGGCAACCACGCTGCACTACCAGGATAAAGTTGAGGACGCAGTCCAGATACTTGACGCTTTGGAAGTTGTGGCACCTTGCAGTTCACACGTGATACAGTTAAAACGGCAGTGGCAAGATATGAAGCAGCTTAAACACGACGGCAATGAACGGTACAAGCAAGGAAATTATCAGGAGGCAGTGCGATTCTATTCAGAGGCGGTGCAGATTGATCCACAGCACCAGGAATACTGTGCAATTATTTATTGCAACCGTTCGGCAGCTCAAATGGGATTGGGGAGATATCATACAGCGATTCTTGATTGCAACCAAGCTCTGCAACAAAAACCCAATTATCCGCGCGCCCTGCTTCGTCGAGCCCGTTGCCATGTTGCGTTAAAGATGTATCACGAAGCAGTGAAAGACTTTGACCAATATTTACGCGTGAACCCAAGTGTTACGCCAGTTGACGCGCCATCTGATGTCCGCCGAGAGCGTAATGAGGCGAAGGCAGCTATAGCCAAATTTCGAGAAGAAGCCAATCAACGGGAGGCGGCGAAGAAGCGTGCCGAGCGCCAACAACGTCAACGACGCCAGCATCAGTCACACCAGCGAGACGACTCAACGCGAAATGACAGTAGATTTCGCGATAACTTCCAGCGAGATGCAAGAAGCAACAACGGGGAAGGTCATGGTAGCAGCAGATTCCAGTCTTCAGGTGCCAATAGCAGGGCTTCATATATGGCGCCTAAGACTCAGCGCCGCACTCACTATGATGTGCTTGGAATCGAAAAGACAGCAACGATGGACCAAATTAGAAGGTCATACCGCAAGCTTGCGCTTGTGTATCATCCAGGTAAGTACAGCCAATTGCAGCAACAGCACTGACAAAGTAGATGCTTATTGTGTTTATTTTGTTATCTTTATAGATAAAGCGAAGACATTGGCCCATGCCAATTTGTTCAAGGAAATGACAGCCGCGTACAACGTGCTTTCTGACGAAAGTGCTCGCGCCAAGTATAATCGAGAGTTGATTTACCACAGGTTTGGTAACTTCAACGAGAACTAATGTGAACAGGTAACAAATAATACGAGGGTTCTATCATGCCAAAGCAACGGCATGGCTCCCGATCAACAAAAATCTACCTTCCTCAAGCGCTTGACGGTGTCGTCCATGTGCTCGCAGTTTTCAGACCAGCAAAAACTGGTGTCAACCTTGCAGAGACTAACTAGTCGTTTCTTCCGTGCAAGTTGCCAGACTGTAACACTCGCTCTTTTCGTCCAGAGCGATGGGCTTTGCACGGGCTGACTGCAGTTCAATAATCAAGAGGGCGACCATTGTGACATTGTCAGTAACTGCGGTCTTAATAGAGGCACGTTGCTAGTATCAACATCCGAGAGCAAACCAGCTCAAAACGACCTTACCTAGCATGATGAGACGTCAATGCTACACGACCGTCAAGCAAAACGGGAGAGTATTTGTCCGTGACATTCTGCTTTCAAAAGGAGCCGCGTGACGTATGTATCATCTCTCCCTATGCAGTCAACGATACCACAGAGTGGACTTAGAGATTCCGTGCATTTCAATCGATTGGACTTCCTCGTCATCGGCTAAGCGATCATCAATGGTGGTGCGTGCCTAAAATAACGGGAAGACACACAGAGCACTGCCTACGACTAACTTTTCAAGGTTGTGCCCGGCAAAGACGCTTTCGGATATCACCAAAGTTGCGTACTGCCCCAAAACTCTCGGACGCACACTTGTTTTATTTTCCGATTGCATTTATTTCTCGTCTTCGTCTGCTTCTTGTGATTCTTGTTATCTAACGCTACTTGGTTGTAGATAAAGTGGTTTACATACATGACGTTTCTCATTAAGATATTCCTGTGCGACTTGTAGATTCCGTTCATAATTCGTCATCAACCAACACAAAGACACAGCAGCACTACGTCCTGAACCTCCTCTACAACGTACATAAGTCTTTACATCTAGTTGTTTCTGTGTCTGAATAAAAGCCACAGGTTCTCCCAATGCTACAAGTTACGGCTCAAAATGGTGGAGTCAAAGTTGGGGAATGTGTTGTCTTTTGTATTGTTTCTCAGGCCCTGCATACTCGTCATATAAATTAACTACGAACACCTTGCGACACTAAATTGTCTACATGCGGCATAAACGTCATTGGTGCAGCTCCTAGGACAACATAAGTGTCCACAAATGTTCAATATTTCCCACGTCGTGAAAAGTACGTAGTGGCCATGTCGGGTAGAAATATACACAAACTGCTGCTTTTGACAATCCTTTAGGTAAGAAATGAAGCTGAAAAGCAGCATAGAACAACACTATGACGAGAATCCAAGTCTCCCACGTAGTGATCATGTAGATAATCCTTGACAAAGACCAAAGCATTGTTAGAAAAGTCAGTCTAACAATAAGACCGAAGAGATGGCTACATCGAAGCTCTGGAACTTCCGTTCAACATGCGGCTTTGATTACGACTGCGCTGCTGTTAGCTTGTTCTACAAACTTTTCCGATGCAGCTTCATACTCGGTTACAAACCACGCAGACGCATTGTTTTGAACAAACTTGAAAAAGTCATTTCGACGAGCCTGGATCTGAAGTAACGCGCGAGGCGAAATGTTGGAGCTTGCCAATAAAACTGGTAATCGCATTACAACATCAACTATCCCATTAGTTATCGACTGCGTAGGGTTCAAATTGCACGAACGTTTTCATTCTTGTTAGAACGCACCAAATAGACGGATAAGATGTTCGGCGCCATAGATCTGCGAGAGTGGCACGCCCTCTGTCTCCTCTTGGCGGAGCTCCTGATACTGTCGATGTTCCATCCGATAGAGCAGAATGGAGCTCAATGCACGATCAAAATAGGACTGCACTCCTTCCATAATACCTTCAACGTTCGTGTATTCCTTCTTATCGCTCACCTGGCCATTCCGCACCTTTGACTTTTTGAACTCCAAGCATGTCTTGATAATCTACATCATCCAACCAATATATCAATCAATACAATCAGTAGATCAATACAATCGAGTCATCCATCCAACAAAACTCGAATCTCTTCTCACCTGATTAACGTTAGGCTTCCTAGCTAACGGTACAAATTGATATGGTGCATGAGTCACGTTCTTCCACGAGCTGTTTCTTGAGCGAAAACGGCATCTGAATATTAGTTTGCTTCCCTGACATTTTCTCTGTTTGATTTTGCTCCTTGAGTCCTGAACACTCTTCATAGTCATTCTCTACATTTCGTTTCAACCGCTTGAACGGCGACTTGCAAGAACGAAGTGAATCCATTCCACCTGAACTTGTTTGTTTCTCTTTCATTAGTTTTTTCTCCTTCTTGGCTTGTACAACATCTTCCTTGGCCTGTTGTTGCAGTATACGATTAGCCAATGTGTCTTCAAGCACACGATCGTGACGTACCCACTCGTCCCATTCCTTGGCCCATCCTTGATAGTGCACGTAAAACTGTGTGTTGGCCATCAATTGTCCTCCATCACCAGTCGTTTCTTTTGCGCCTTGTCCATTGTCTACATTTAATACCTTGACATCGTATATCATTCGGCCATGATATGCTAGCACCGTGTCACCTACTTTGATCACCATCTTATAGATAGGAATGGAGGACGGAGACAGAATGTGGGGTAGCACACTAGATTGGTATCTGCGACATCATCTGCATCGCAGTAGAAATCTGAAAGCTTCTTCAGATTAGGCTAAACACTCTTTCATCTGCGTCAGTCGCACCTAAATAACACACCGATGACTATGCATTAAGTACAATTTTCTTGACTCTTTGGATGATATCTACATGGCAAACAAACACCTAGGAAGACACACGATCGATTCCAAAGTGTTAACTATGCTGTAGCCTGTCATAGTACGACACTTCCTTGTGCGTTTTGAATCGCGTGCTACACGGAAATTGCCTTGAAAAGCGCACAAAAGAAAGCAGCGTAGCTAAATTAATTCGTAGCCAAAACCTCGGTTCACTTTTGCTACTCGATCTCTCTCTTTTCTTTCAAATTTAGCAGCACCCACATTTCCTGCACGGCGTCACCACCCTTCGTACTTTTCCACTTAGTAAACTGCCATGCTATCTAGCAGAGGAATGTCCGCTTTATCGGACATGTAGTCGACATATTCGCGCAGCTTAGTCGGCCACTTCAAGTCACGAACAAGTGTCAGTCCACGCAAATGACCGAAAAAGCTGATGTCGTCATAGCTGAGATTTTCATTCACCGACTGGTTGGAGTAGAACATGGGAACCAATCGCTCCAGTAACTCATTCGCCTGTTCTACTAGCTCTGGTGTCTTGGCCAGTGCATCTTCAAATGAACCAATAGCTTTCTCTTTCTTGGCACGGTAATATTCGCGGCTTTCAAGTCGGGCAAATTCGGCAAACGGGGCCGCGTGAAAACGTGGATGATACAGCTGACGGAACACGTTGGCTGCGTCTTTCAGCCACTGTTTGAGCTCCGGACGGTTTGCCGACGGGGCCAAGACGGTCGAACCACCGTAATTTTCGTCCACATAGCGGACAATATCCAAACTTTCCGGAAAGGCGTGACCATTGGGTAACTGAAGTATAGGAACCTGCTTCGATCCAACGAGACTAATGGGGGTGACCTCATCGTGGTTGGCCAAGAAAACGAGCTCATGGGGTATTTCCTTGAAGCCAAAGATCATACGCGCGCGTACGCAGAACGGACAATGGTCATAGATATACAGCTTTGGTAAAACGTTTTGGTTCTTTGGCTTACGAAGGAACAATGCACTGGTTGTAAGGCCTATGGCCGAGCCAACGGCAAAAGTCGTGACCAATTTGACCACGTCTGACATGATGGAGAAGGAGAAGGCAAATGACGACCTATTTCGGAGATATTATAGAAGTAAATTAAAAAAATCATAGAATAGATGAAATCTTACAAGATACCAAAAGCCAAAATTACGAAATGGAATTCAAAATTAGTAATATTTTTTTAATCGGAACGCTCCTGGGACTAAAACTGAAACACTCCGTGAAATCGTTGGTTTGAGAAATCAAGTTACTTCAGATAGCAATATTACTGCAGCTAATATTGCTGCTCTATCGTTTGCTGTATGTAGTCTGCTCGAAAGCAGGTAGGTGTGGGTGATGCAGAATAGCAGACGAACTGGCTTCGGCTAGATAAAAAATCACTTCAACGTAGATATCGAGTACTAGTTGCTGTTAAATCGTTCAACAGTTTTGGATTCGCTTTGCACAAGTAATAATCTGAGGTGCTTGTGCAAAGTGAATAACTGTTACTGTAACGGCGCGAGAGCTCCGTTACGTAGCCTACACTAAAGGTCTTATGAGGAAGCGTAAGAAGTACGCAATTAGCTTACGTACTTAAGACTATTTTGAACTTAGATACAAAATCCTAAACCTTCTGTGAACCACCCAAATACGTGCCAAATATTAATTGGGTGAAATGGGGCTATACTCCACTGTTAACTGATCAAATAATGGCACTAAAGATACGCTATTTGTATCTTTTCCTTTTCCTTCTTTATGTAATATTGTCAATATTCTCTACCTAGTTATGCATAATAATGGGACCGTTATTGTTGCCATATCGTTACTTGATATGGCGTGTAACGATGCGACCACGTTACACCACCCCCACTCAGAATGACAAATACCATGAGTGGAAGGGACCACAGCACAGCAGATACACACCGCGTAACTTGCACTGCTTCACCGAGTCGCCAACCAGCTTCGGCACCGCGCAAAAACCCAGCGGTGCCTTCGATGACCTTCAATCCACCGAGAAGATACGTAGATACCTTGCGAGTCCGGACCTTGTATGACTGCAGTGGTATCCAGTAATCACGTGGGGACGAGGTCATGGCCGATATGTGGTGAAGGTGGAGAGCAACGCGTAGAAAACCCATCACAGCTACCCTAGCCGTGACCCAAAACTCGCTTGATGAATCATGGACTGCGTTCGTGCGACGCTGGAGATCGGAACCACATTTCGGCGAATTATCACCATATTGGGAGGAACAGCGACGGAAGTATGGG